CTCTACATGTCTCCATGCTTTAATGTTCAAAAAGCTCTTTATTGTTCTCATACTGTCTGTGCTGCAGCACCTCTTTTCACCCTCTGTCTGAAACCAGAGCCCAGTCTGCTCTGATTGGTTAGCTGGCCGGCTCTGTTGTGATTAGTCAAGAGCTTAGAGATGTCCCGCCTCAGAGCCTTTAATATGTGTAGGATTGCTAACCAATAGAAGCACAAGTGTTACATAGTGATGTCACTCCGGAAGTAAACAAGGAGTGTGTGGGAGAGAAACTCCCTCTCGAGAGAACTTTGGAATTGTAGCCTTTGCAGACCATTGACATGCACAAAAACCTAAAGAACACACTAAAAGAGAGGGAGAACCCAAAACAATCCTAATAGTCATCTTTAAATGTGAATGCGAGACAACAGAACAATGTAACTTTAGAAAAGGACAAATAAGATAACAAAATAGATATTTAATGAATAGGAAAACCTGCCTTTCATGTATCATATTTAGGAAGCATAAACAAACAATGAAACACATGAGCACACACTACAGAAAAGTAGTCCGATTATTCAGTTACGTTTTAGCTCCCAAAGCCTGAGTGTTCCCCTATCATGCCATCAGATTTATTAGAATAATATCACTGTCTGTTATCTCTTTCTGTAAAGCTCCGCCTCAGTCTGCAAGATGATAACAGAGTGAGGGTTTTTGCCATGTTTTTACAGTTACTTTTACAACGCTGAGATTTACCACGGCAGTTTAAGCAATTAAACCGGAAACTCAACTGTAAATCTTGATATTTTACTAGCGTGAAATTCATATGCAGTTAAATTAAACGTTACTATGCTCAGTTCAGCCCCCACCGCTAATAAACAGCTGCACCGCGGGGAGGTAGTTTATAGCTCCAGCAAATGACAAATTGACCATTAATAGTCAACTCTAATAAAAAGCGTGGTTGTCTCACGCTGTATTTCAATGGCTATTGTTCTAAAAAATTGTCAAAAAGCCAATTCTGGACCGAAGCTGTGAAACGCATACATCCCTTTGTGGTTCATTTTTTCAGGCTTCATGGCGCCATTGTTTTTGATGTTCTCCAGAGAGTGATGGCTTATTTTATTACCAGACAACATCCCTCATGTTGACAGGGCTCCATATTCACCTCAGAGCTCAGGGGCTCGGCTCGGACATTTCTTCCGGAGCTCAGCTCAAGGTCAGCATCTCCACTGGCGCAAAAAAAGCCCAGTTGTTTTTTGTACGTCTGCAGCCAGATGCGCTTAACTGCATTCGGATTTGCTCCTCGCTCCCCCCTCGCAGCATGATTGCATGTTATTTCGTGTAGCTGTCATAAAGCTGCCTCTGAATAACTGTGACAAAATCCCCACCGGATAAAGCAACAAGACATCAACGCCGGAGGAGCCATGATGCAAAGAGCCGAGGCCTGAAGCCACACAAACCACTGCCTCAGTTAAAAGCCTTCAATGGCTAAATCCAACCCCAACTGATCCATTCCTCCATATCCTCACCCTCCCTACGAAAGTGAAAAATGAACAATATTATCTCTCCACAGACAGCAGCCAAAGGATATTAATAGAATTCAATTGCAGAAGAGATTGGACACAGAGATCCCGTTGTGAGTAAGAGAGGCAGAGTGTCCAGAGGGCCATGCTCTAAATATGAGCAGAAACGTATAGAAAAGGGATGACAGAAAGACATTCACAGTTCGTGCATTGATCCGACACAATTATCCAGGGTGACATGCAATGAATAAGAGATGGAACGAACAAAAGAAGGGATCAAAGATAGGATGACGCAGCAACTGGAGGAGGAAACGCTCTTCTCTATATCAAAAACCTCCCAATTTACACAAGAAAGATTAATCTTGGACATTGGAATAGGAGCTCATATAGTGGATACTGAGATTTATTTTCAAACACGACGTAACACAAAGGGTCCGATCATACCGAGACGTTACAACGGTTTGCCACCAACACTATTGGTACCATAGGTATTCATTATGGTTCAGTGTGACAGGCATGCGTTTTTATAGAGGTTTAGACACATAAAAGTACAAAAAAGTCTCAACTGCATCACCATGATTCTGTTTTGATAGGTGTCTTCCCGTTTCGCCCCTTCCCCATATCGCCCCTTTTTTACATGAGAAATGATACTTGTTTTGCTTGGTCGTGGGTCTTAGGGTTAGAGTTTATAGATCTAATGATGCATCCCATGAAGTCTGTTGACGAATCAGAGGCTGTTGTTGGGGCTGCATGGGAAAGGGGCGAAGTGGCAATGGGGCGAATTGGGAATAAACTGTTTTGATACCAATAACAGGACTCAAGAGGAGACAATAACGTTACTGCTACAGTTACGTTACATTATGTAGTAATTACGTCATTATCATTATCTAATTTATTTTTTCCCAAATAAGTTAAGAAACTGTGACGGTAGGTCTCGTTGTAATTGGGGCCAAAGATATATGGTATAATGTAAGATGTCGCAGGAAAGTAAAATCTGTTGGAAGTGAAAAAGTTTATAGACTGCATTGCATTAGTTGTAGTTGTGTTTACTTCCTGTGTACTGACCTATTTTAGTTATTTGTTGTTGGAGGTTGAATGTGATTAGATGTTTGACCAGGTCAAATCCATTAGCACAGGGGTGGAGAACCTTTTTCCTCTCAAGGGCCATTTCAATTTTTTCAACATCCTCCGAGGGCCGTACAAATGATTGACCTCTACTTAAAAAAATAAAATCACAGCCCATTCATTTGGCCTTTCTTTCATGCTGTGCGAAGAAAAAGCAACCTCTGAATCCAGATATCTTACCATGACTCGCGCATGCATGCACGTGCACGGTTGTGGCATGACCAGAAATATATGGACAAAATGTATTTAGTATCCATGTGAACATGATTTAAGTGGGGGGGACCTAACCTCCTCTAGGGGATCTGGGGGCATGCTGCCCCGGGTAGATTTTGTTTTTTAAATGTTGAAGTTGATAGCATCAATCTAGTGCACTTTGAGAGCAACATTAGGAGATCTATGGAAACGCCTCTCAACACCCATATGAAACAGAACTGTAAGCAGATTTTCTTTTTCTTTATGGATATTTTACAAATCACTCCCTTTTCAAACTGTATTCTTGTTTATTAATAACAACTTTTTTTTTACTGTCATATAGTATTGTATACCCGTTTACTTTATGCTCTTATTTTTTTATAACTATAATGATCATTTAAAGACGTGCCTTTACCTCACTGGTTGGAGAAAAAGCTTCTTATATTCGTTAGCATAGCTAGCTAACCAGATGCTAATAACAACAAAGGTATTGACTGTATGATCAGTGTGACAGATGAACAGATCACCACCGGGCTTTCAACTAAAGACGCAGCCACGCAGAAACTGCGACATGTGTACGGCTCCTTATGGGTACTGACCAGTGGCGAGCCGTCAGGGCCCTCTAGGCCCTGCCTAAGATATTCTAAAAAATAATATTTGAAAACATTTTTTTTAAAAAACATTTTAAATATATATATTTTTTTTATATATATGTTGTTTTTGTTACATTTTTTATTAGTTTTACCAAAATAACTTGATTTAACTGTATTTAAAATAATATTTCCAAAGAAATAAATCCTTCGAATCTGCCTGTTCAGTTTCTGTTGGAATGTGAAGGGTTAAATGCCGTCTCTGCGAGTTATGTGAAGACGGGAGAGCTTGTTGGTCCCTCTCTACATTCACAGAGGGCCAGCTATAGTAACTCAACGAGAGTTGAGTTGACAATTGACCAATCATATCTTCCCTCTAAATGGGCGGGCTTTATTTTTCGCTGACTTTATGACAAGTTCCGCCCGCTGTGAGGTCTATAGGCTTATTCACACTGCGGTACTTTTCCCACAAAGGTTCATGTGAACTCTTTTATCGCGTTCACACCAAAAAGAGCCGGTACTAAAATTAGTTCATGTGAACCTTTTTACCCCCTCGAAAGTCCCTGCTAGAGAGCAGAGAGCTGCTAGAGAGCAGGGACTTTCGTGCGGCTCTCTTGTGAGAAAAGAGCTATATTTCTGATTGGCTGGGCGGATTGCAAACCACGCCCCGTAAAACTCCCAAAAAGTTTTGTGAAGCCGCCATTTTATTATCCTCGCATTAGCATTAGCATTAGCCCAGCGCAGAAACGCAGAGAGACTAACTTATGGCAACACAAAATAAAACATGGGAGCGGTAGAGATGAGGAGGTGTCGGCGTTCTGGCGATTTACTCGGAAGGCTTCAGTAGAAGCTGCTGGGAGTCCCAGCAGCTTCTACTGAAGCCAGTCCCCAACTCCGGGGACTTCCGGCCGGGGACTTTGGGCGGCAGTATACGCCGTGAAGTGGTTTGCGGCCTGCCAGTAAACCCAAAGCAGAAGAAGAACAAGTGACGTCAGCGGCTTCATTTGCCTAATCCACCCCCAGGGACTTTTTCCAGTGTGAACGCGATCTGTACTTAGTTCATGCGAACTAAAGAGTTCACATGAACTAAGTTCACATGAACCTTTGTGGGAAAAGTACCGCAGTGTGAAAGCGCCTTATGCAAGTGGTGCAGTGACGCATCCTATAACCCGGAAGTAAGCTTCGCTCGGATTCCCTCAACAGAAAGCAATGGCATTTCTCCATAGGATTTTGGAAAATAGCTCGAAATAAGGTCTGTGGAAAACGAACCTGTTAGATAAATGCACGTTTTGTTCAGCCGGATAATATCCACATGTCTACCCTACTTTTATTATTTTCGAATCATAAATCTAAACGATAGATTTATGATCGATAGATTTATAATTAGCATACATTCGTTCATGATGGCTCACTTCAGTGATAGTGATGACATCGTTGCGAAATTATTAACTGAGTCATTTTCAAGATTGAGTTACAATGATAAACTGGAGTGGCAAAGGCTCAGCTGAATGACCCGCAAGTGCTTCATCCAAAAGGACAGGAGGATGGACTTTGTGTTTCAGTGATTTGATCATCAACGGTAGGCAGTGGCGTAGCGGAGGCCCCCGCACCCCCCGCGGTGCGGGGGAGCCCCGGAGCTTAGGGGGCCCCGCCCCCACTGTAGGCTATCCTCTTAGATTTCGTAACGCGGGAACAGGGTGCAGAGGGCGGGGCCCCCCCCTCCCTGCTATGTTGCTACGTCATGTGTACGCTGCCTGTAGTAGTACAACAGTGTATCATTATAATTATTTGCTCATCTGCGATAGGGCTAGCCGGCTGATAACTAATGTTCATTGGCAGGCTGGGCAGCGTTCAAAACAAAGCGGGAAGCATTGCTCATATAAATAACGTTCATTAGTTGCGTTGCCGGTAAACATGAAAAATGAAGCGCCACTACCCAAGCGGTGCTCAGAAAAGCAAAATGAGAGCGAAAGCCGAACAGGAGAGGGCAAAACTACCTAAAATAACGTCATTGTTCCGGCAGGCAGCAAAGGTAGACGTAGACTCTAACGTTACTGCAGATAGACCGCTAGCAACCCCCCCCGGCCCCCGGCCGTCAGCTCCGAGTCCAGGCAGACAGCCCAGCAGCCCCGTTACAGCCGAGCCAGCTAGTCGTGCCTCGCGCTTCGAGACAGGTTAGACATTAGAATAATATAAAGTTTTATTCGCCATAACCAGTATGCTACAGGTTACATTGGAATTGGAATCTAATCCGTTCATTTTTGCAGGTCAGCAAGAAGTCAGCTGTGCCCCCTCCGAGGCCAGTTCAGACATAGGCATAGACAAGGCTGCCCAGCCAGCTAGCCGTGCCCCCACAGACCCCAGCAGCCCCGTTACAGCCGAGCCAGCTAGTCGTGCCTCACGCTTCGAGACAGGTTAGAATAATAGAAAGTTTTATTCGCCAATCGCCATAAAAAGTACGAGTCAGTATGCTACAGGTTACATTGGAATTGCAATATAATCCGTTCCTTTTTGCAGGTCAGCAAGAAGTCAGCTGTGCCCCCTCCGAGGCCAGTTCAGACATAGCCAAGGTTGCCCAGCCAGCTAGCCGTGCCCCGACAGTGACAGCAGCTCCCACCCACCCCAGGGACACGTTGGCCAGCGACAACTCTGTGACTGAATACCCTACTGATAGGGGGAAATTCCCTGTAGATTTAGAAGACGATGATGTTAAACGGTACATTCTGAATAACGGGCCATGCAAGCCTGAAGGGCCATTCAAAAGGGATGGGAAGGGAAGGTGCTTTTCAAAAGAGTTCTATAACAAAACATCCAAAATTGGATGTAGAATTCCACGAAAGTGGCTATGTTACTCGCCATCTATGGACCGGGTGTACTGTGAGCAGTGCTGGCTGTTCGGTGACAGACCGTCTGCCCATCACCTCCACCAAGCGTGGAGAATAGGAATAAATGATTGGCAGGGTCTCTCTAAAAAGATTAAGGAACACGAATTCTCTCGCTCTCATTTGGCAGCATGTATGATACGTGGAAAAATAATCTGACCATTGACGCGCAAATATCATCTGAGTTTAAGAGAGAGGTGGGGTTTTGGACCGAGGTCCTAACCAGAATAACTGATGTTACACTAACACTGGCCTCTCGCAACTCTGCTTTCTGGGGTCACAGAGAGAAAATAGGTGATATAGATAATGGTAATTTCTTATCTACCATAGAACTTATGGCGCGTTATGATCCAGTTCTGCAAAGGCTTATTGAAAGCAAAAAGAAGGTGCACTACCTAAGTCCTCAAACTCAAAACGAAATAATTTCATTGCTATCGAAAAAAGTGCAGGACACAATCATTACAGACATACAGAATGCAGAATTCTATTCGATTATAATGGATACTACCCAGGACATTTCAAAAGTAGACCAACTGAGTCAAGTGTTCAGATATGTTACTATAGCAAATGATGAAAATGGAAACCCTACAGAGGTGAAAATAAACTAAAGTTTTTTGGGCTTCCATGCAGTCACAGACCAAACTGCTGCAGGTCTAGAGAGAGAAATTCTCGAATCGATGGAGAGAAAGGGGATACTACTTGGGAAGTGCAGCGGACAAGGATATGACGGGGCTAGCAATATGAGTGGCGTCTACTCCGGTGTACAAAAACGCATAAGGGATAAAGAGCCCAACGCAGTGTACATTCATTGTGCTGCGCACAATTTAAACCTTATACTCAATGACGCATGCCAAAATATACCTGAGATAAAAGACTTCTACGACACTGTTGAAAGGCTATATGTATTCTTTAGTGGAAGCATCAAACGATGGGAGCTTTTGGAAACACACCTCTCAGTGCCCAAGGCTGGCCAGCCTACACTGAAGAGACTATGCCCGACACGATGGGCATCAAGACAAGACGCCGTCCAATCATTGCGGTTCCGTTATGCTGACATTATGCAAGCGCTAACTAAGATAGACTTGCTCTCCAAAAAAAGCGAGGAACGTGCCGAGGCGACTGGCTTGAAAAAGGCCATGGAGAGCTTTGAGTTTGTTGTAATGACTGTAATACAGGGCAAGGTCCTTGAAACAGTCAACATTGTGTCCCAAGCTCTCCAGCGCAAAGACGTGGACCTCTTACAGGCGACAGCAATGCTTGGTAACGCAACCGATACACTTGCCCAACTCCGAGGAGAGTTCGATGGCTTAAAAGCGCACGCGCAAGACCTGGCATCCTCATGGGGTGTCCACAGTCTCTTCAAAGACAGACGCGCAAGGCGCACAAAGAGGCACTTTTCAGAGCTTTGCGAGGACCAGCGGCTCCAAGACCCAGGGGAGCATTTTAGAGTGGCGGTATTTTACGCAAATATCGATATTGTCGTTGCCCAACTCAAAAATCGATTTGTTGGAATGAGCGAAGTTGCACAGCGATTTTCTTTTCTGCTTCCCCGCGAACTTTTGCGCGCAACAGACAAGGATCTGTCTGAGTCCGCAAGTGCTTTATCAGGCCAGTATAAAGACGACCTGTCAGCCGAGTTTCCTTTCCAGATCCTGTCCCTCCGTAATGCTCTTAGGCCTACTATAAAGAAAATTGAGCGTGGAACAATCAAAGACCTTGCACAAACCCTGCTCATTGAAAATCAGTCCATTTTGCCAAGTATCCCCGATGTTGCCACAGCACTGAAATTGTTTTTAACTATACCCGTGACTGTTGCCAGTGCTGAGAGATCTTTCTCAAAACTTAAATTAATAAAGACATATTTGAGGAGCACAATGTCGCAAGAGAGACTGTCTGGGTTAGCAGTCCTTAGTATTGAGAGCCGACGCGCGCGCAGTATAGATTTAAAGACTGTTATACAGGACTTTGCGCAGAAGAATGCCAGGAGACGTGCTCGTATAAAATAATAGGCCTACAAAGCAGCTCCTGATTGCATCCTCTTTGTAGCCTATATAGGATGTGTTTTATTTGCTTGTTTTTTGTAGGCTACTTTTCTTTTATACAGAATGTTATGTGAACCGTTCCGTTGTGTGAACTCCAATGATGATAGGCTATAACGTTCTACAATATACCTTCATGTTACAAAAAATACACAGCCACTTGTTTGTATTTGTCAATTATGTTTCAATCAGATGTATATTATTATACAGTTCCTACTGACCTTACTGTTTAAATCAGATGTATATTATACAGAAAGTTCCTACTGACCCTATACTGTTTAAATCAGATGTATCTATACAGAAAGTTCCTACTGACCTATAGGCCTACTGTTTACAAAAGATGCCTGAAAAAATAAACATTTAAAAAAGTGGCCGCGATGTCTATCCCATGTCACTCTATTATTGATTTAGGGGAGGGGGCGGGGCCCCATGGTCCGACCTGCGGGGGAGCCCCGAAATATTGCGCAACGCCACTGACGGTAGGCCTAAGTCATTTTCAATGTGGGCCGCAGTGCCGATTTAATTCATTTGCAATTGTTACTTGGCTGTAAGTAAGGGAGCCTGTCATGATAGGTGTTTATATAAATGGTGTTGTTTTGTGTGGTAGAGGGTCGCTGTCATTGATGCGTTTTGCACCCCGGGCCGCTGAAGTATACGCTGTGACGTAATATCTCCTTTTTTTTTTTCGAGGGAAGGGGGGTCAGAGCATAGATATATATAAACACTAGATGGCTCATGGGAGATTTTCCAGCGTAGCTGACCGGCCGCCATCTTGCTACAGTCAACAGTTACTCTGATTCGCGCTATGGTAGCTGTTGTAAGGTGAGTGATCTGCACAAAAATACTCTTAACTCGCTGAAATCTTGACTGATTTACAAACGGTTTGGTTTATTATAAACATTATTAGCATGGCTATGATACAGGATGCTTGGACATGTTGAAATTGCAGCTTTTCTTTGTGTATGTGGTTGTATTTATTAGCTGGCTAATAACAAGAGGCTGTGAGTGAGACCTAGTATTACAAAGTTGACCCAGCAACTTTACACCAGTGGGAGAGGCAGAACTGCTCTTTCTTTTCAACATAACTTAAGTTACACATGATTTCTTCCAAGTGGTTTGGCTTGTTAAAAACATCTTGCATTATGATACAGGAATTTGCTGGCTTTGTGTTTATAGAAGTACCTGACTATGCCGGACTTTTGTGCAGCCTACGGATGCTCTAATCACCGCAGTCTGCAAACAAGAACCCCCCACCCCCTTAACCTGTCTGCCTTTTTTCCCCTACTCCCCCCCCCCCCCTACCCGACTTGTAAAGCGACCTTGGGTTTCCTGAAAGGCGCTATAAAAATATTATTTATTATTATTATTATTATTATTCACATGTAAGATATGACAATATTATGACTAAAATTAGGATAATCGTTAATTACTTAGTGGATGTATGTACATTACAAGTCCTGCTACACAGGATCAGTAGGGCTATGTGAGATAATAGTATTGCAAGATTGTTGTTGACCCAGCCTCTTTAGAATATGTTGTTACCATTTCGTTACACAATTATTTAATGTTTCTTTTGGACACCTTTTTTATTACTCTTAGTGTGGTTGTCTTATTCTTAAAGTATACATACATACATACATACATGCATACATACCAAAAATATGATAATTTCAGTGTGTATTTTTGTCCTTACCCTTAATGTTAAAGGAAAGAAGGGAGGAAAATGTTGACAATAATTTATATATCTGGCTACCTTTCTCATGTTTTTAAGGTTTCCCAAAACCGAAGAGAGGAGGAGGCAGTGGGAACTCGCCCTAAGAAGGGACATCTTCAGGTTCCATGAGACGCAGCACTATGTTCCCCACATATGTTTATGTTTGCTCAGTCTAATAAACCCATAACATGGTTGTGAAAGAATACCAAAGCTGAGGCTGGACGATGATTGATTGTTGGTGTGCCATGTGCCACCGTGTGTCTTATTGGTTTTGTGTTATACTGTATTTTATTGTGTGCAGCTGGTCCTTATCTCCAAGACACATTTAAAACAAATAACCTTGAACCTTGAATCCCCATCTCTCCCCACCTGCTCCTGCTTCCTACATCCCCTCCACACCACACCAAGTTGTTCTTCTTAATAATAATAATAATAATACATTTATTTGGGGGGGCCGCCTTTCATAACACCCAAGGACACCTTACAGGGGCATAGGGGCAATATAGGGAACAATTCAAACAGTGGATTTTGTGATATATCAGCCGGGATGAGACAAGACAAACCACAAATGGACTACAGAAGGACACAAAAGGACACATGGTACAGTTTATATTATTCTTGGTCTTTTTTCAATGACATATTTCAAAGGTTCTGGATTTGTTTACAAATCTAGAAACTAAATACAAAACTAGGATGATATGAAGATCTCATGTCAAAAATAATTGTGATAAATTAGACAGAACTGGCCTGTCTGTGAGCACATTTTATGTTGGTTTGGTTCTTCTGATAAAGGTGTGAATATCTAAATAATATACCAACATATGCTATTGTCATTAGTTGTGTCCCTGTTCTTAAAGCTAAGGCATTGCTACATTAACAACTCTTGACTTACAGAGTGGTAACATGAGACCGATTTTTATATATAAAATATAAATGTATTTTAATTTTATAATTTATTTTAAATATTAACAATATAATAAAATAAATGGAAATATATACACCGGCAAATATTTAATATAAATACCGTGTGTGTGTGTGTGTGTGTGTGTGTGTGTGTGTGTGTGTGTGTGTGTGTGTGTGTGTGTGTGTGTGTGTGTGTGTGTGTGTGTGTGTGTGTGTATAGCTATTGCTTTATCTGATTAATGTTATTTTCATATGAAAGTCCATGATTATAAGTATGCAGTATCATAACTACATCTTTGATGTTTATAAAAAACCAAACCGTTTGAAAATTGGTTGAAAATTGAGCAAGCTATGGTTATTTAAATAGTAAACCATAATGTTATGAATGAGAGAACTGCCTGTAGCAAGATGGCGGCCAAGTGGCAACGTCGGTCTCCATTGGCCAGCAGCGCGGGTGAGTCATCTAGTGTTTATATA